CTATCCGTTGATCCAACTGTATAGTCAAGCCCTATAACCCCAAATTTTTTTGGGTCCGTTTCTGAAGAGCCGCGAGTTTAGTACAGTTTTGGGCCGTACAGATGTGAGCCGCGCGCGTCCTATTATGTTTAGGAGTTAGGTTCTACTCTCTATAAATAAGCTCTCTCTCTTGTAATCACTTGATCCGAAATTAATAGCAATTCCTGACTTGGTAGCGCCCCCAGATGTCCTTTGTGGCGAACTGAGTTACCAAATTTCGTGTGTTCTTTCTTATTGTTCTTCGTGTTGCGTTAATTAAATCCTAACACTAGTATGAGACTAAAATCAGATAAATGAAAAACATTCTGATAATAGAAACTATCCATGTCCTAGGTAGACTATAAGTAACATCATGGATTCATGTCCAGTCTTATTATGCTACAATGTCACCCCATCTACCTCCACCAAACATACAATAACAATCCTAATTTTCCAATTTCATTAAAAATTATAGTTCAAATTTCAAACAATTTCAAACTAAAACAATTAAATAACAGGAAAGTTCCCGCAATAGGACTAAAATAGTTTGAAAATTCCAAAATAGAACTTTCATGTTTTTATTCCCAAAATAACAGTAATTACTGTCAAGTTTGGAAAATACTGCCATGTTTGAAGTCTGGTAGTGCCAAAACATGACAGTAATTAGTCCTATTTTGGGAATAAAAATATGGCAGTCTTATTTTGGAATTTTCAAACCTTTTTAGTCCTATTTCAGGTAATATTCTCTTAAATAACTCACACGGTTGTTTTAAAAAAAAACTCCTACATCACGGCTGATTTGGAGAAAAATAAGAACCAATCTCTTTTTTTTAAAGTCATATAACTTTAATATTTATAATTCAACTTTTACAAAAAATATATCAAAATTCATAACTTTTTATAATCTTTCATATGACACAAGTATCATATATATGTATATAAATAAAAAAGATCTATTACTCTCTATGTCCCCTAGAAAGGCTATCACATGGTTTACGATATTTTACTAACCATACAATTAATTGATCCGTGTTCGTAATTAGATTTCTTTTATTAAATAAATTACATATTTAGAGACTACATCAAAAGTTTTATAAATTCGCAAAAGAAAAACTCATATTTGATAAAAGTTGGATATATAAAGTAATAGATTAAGAAGATTTTGGTTGACTGAAGAATACTGGACGAGAAGTTTTGAATGGGACGAAGGTAGTATTTTATATAGCAAACCTGAGTAAAAAATTCTATTGATTTATAAAAATGTTATTATCACTGCAATTAAAACATTTAATTTATTGCTATTCACTACGTGTATCGCTGCTCATATGGAGAAAGGGAAGGAGAAAAAATTCTTTTAATGTATTACGATAGTATAAGTACTTATTTAATTTATTTGTACTCTAATTTTTATAAAAACACATCAAATTTATAATTTTTTATGATCTTTCATCCGACAACAATATTGCATATATAAAAATAAAAACATCATTTTATACAATAGATTTGGGTCAAAATCAATGAGGTGTTAGTCTCTTATTCGTTAATAAAAAAAGTTATTAACATTGTTACTAAAACATTTAATTAATTCAAGTTCACTCGGTGCATCTGTGCTATTCACCAGATGCATAAGTGCTATTCATATTAATCACGCCAACTCATTTGGAGAAAGTGAAGGAGAAAAATATCTTTAATTTTAAAGCGTTATAACTTTTTTATTTGTATTCCAATCTTTAAGAAAGTTTATATCAAAATTCATAAATTCTTATGATCTTTCATATGCCATCAATATTATATATATAAAAATAAAGATATTTTCATTTGATATAATAACATTGAGTAATGAATCACTAATGTGACTGTTTCTTATTACTTAACAAGTTCTATAATCACTACTACTATAACATTTAATTAATTCAAGTTCACTCGGTGCTTCACTACTACTTACTCGGTGCATCATTATTATTCACCTTAATCATGTCAACTTATTTAGAGAAAGTGGAGGAGAATTTTATTTTTATTTTTTTTGTACTCCAATTTTATAAGATATGTATCAAAATTCATAAGTTTTGTCATCTTTCATATTAAACCAATATTGCATATATAAAAATAAAAAAAATATTAGCTTTGTATAATATAACTGAATTATGAATCAATGATGTGTGAGTCTCTTATTGGTTGATAAAAATTCCATTATCACCACTACTAAATCATTTAATTAATCTAAGTTCACTTGATGTATTACTATTATTCACTTCATGCATCACTGCTATTCACTCGGTGCATCACTGCTACTCATTTTAATCCAATCAACTCATTCGGTGCATCACTCCAAATTTAACAAAAAAAATATCAAAAATCATAAAATTTATGGTCTTTTATATGACACCAAATTACATATATAAAAAACTATTGTAAAAATTGAGCTATAAATCAATGATATATAATATCTATAGTAAAATTTGAGTTTGAAATGCACATTTACACAATAGTCGTGACACATATAAGGAATCCAATTTTCATTAGATATTTAAATTTTATTATTTTATTTAGTAAAATAGGATTACAAACTGCTAACATATATGTCACTCTGTTATTGGTTAACAAAAATTTTATTATCTTTATTTTGAAAACATTTAATTAGTTCCCAACAAAAAGGAGATTGATTAGCTATATACGAATTTATACTCCATAAGATGGTGATTCTTCGTTTGTATTTCATGGTGGTAGTTAGTTCATAAAATAAATCACCAAAATTTTGATCGTATCTTATGAATAGTTCACAATGTTTGTCATTATTTGTCACTAGACCATATCAAATTAACACTACTAGTGCATGCCTCCTTTGATGACTTCATTGCAGTATTTTTATTTTTTGCTAAAGTGATATCACATTTTTTAGTTCGGCCAGATCATTAGTCATTACATATATATTTTACCAATAACATTGATCCAAAATCAATTCTTACTGTAATCGCGGTATTCACAATCAAATGCTATATTTAAGCCTTTTCTTGTTACAACATACTATGAACCCTTTTCAACTAATGTGATCATAAACTGAAAACAAAAATAATTATGAGCCTAAAATCAAAAGAATAACAATTCACATGCCCATCAACTTTTTAAAATCCCCTTTCTCATTTCTTTGCAAAGTATTAGTAAACTTATTCGGGTTTTTTTCAATATAAAAAATGTTATTAAAACAATTATGTAAACAAGTCATAACATTTATTAATATTTACCGTATTAAATCATATTAACATGACACTATCGGGGCATGCCTAGGCCTGTCAATGGGTCGGGTCCGGGCCGGAACATAGTGTTCCAGACCCGGACCCGCTAAGTTAATAAAGGACCCAGACCCGACCCGCATACCCGACGGGTCTGAAAATTTGGACCTGGACCTGGACCCAACGGGTCTCGGAATTGGGTCGGGTAGACGGGTAGACCCGCCAAGTATAATATGCACAACGTTATAATATTTTTTTTGAAAATAACAGGACATGTATATGAAATGTAAAGCAAAGTGCGCAAACTTAAAAGCAAAATATATCTTCATATTTTAAAAAAATCAAGGTTTATCATAAAAAATTAGTACTTTTATCCAATAAAGTATCGATTCTTGTAGATGCGTATAACTCCATACTTTTGGTCTCTTTCTCTCACACACAAAGCTCGTAGATTAGGCTAGAAAGTTATAATAATATTAATAATAAAAAATATTTATTTAAAAAATAATAATAAAAAATATTTGGCTTTGCATACCGAGCCCAATACACAATTTATCACTATCAATAAACAATCAAAATGAGTATTAGTTTTAGGGTATCTCATTATCTCGATTAGTATCACTTAGAGCATCTCCAATGCTAAAACGTTAACGGTGCATACGTGGCATGGAAAATAACCAATTAAAAAATAATAAATATAATATCTCTCTCCTTATTTGAAGGATCTTACATCATTTTGGCAAGTTTTTCTTCACAATGTCAAGCAGAATGTCAAGATGTAGACATTGTGATTGACATTGCAGACAAAAACTAACACATAAGACCGTGGAAAGAAGGAGAGAGATATTGGATTTATTGTTTTTTAATTGGTTATTTCTCATGCCACGTATGCACCGTTAACGTTTTAACATTGGAGATGCTCTTATAGAGTAGGTATGTATTAAAGTGTATCTACTTAATTAAAGAATCACAACTAATAACTTTATGTATTAGTATGTGTGTGTATTAGTATATATATTAGTTTGTATTTTTTATTTGAAGTGTTATAACTAACCACTCTATGTACTAGTGTGTGTACTAATATTAATGAGTAATTTTAAACGGGTCCGGGTCCTTAACGGGTTGGAATCATATGTACCATACCCGACCCGTTTATTATAAATACTAACGGGTCCGGATTCGGGTCTGGATAATCGCAATAAAATATAGGAAAAATTGATAGTAATAATCCCAACTATTGGCGGTCCGCTCATAATAATCCCAACTATTGATTATTACAGAATAATCCCAACTTTAGGGACTTTCCGCCAATAATGGTCCCTATGAATAAATTCTTGTAGTTTCTAAAGTGGATGAGATGAGATATAACAAGTAATCCTTATAAATAATCTCAACTTTTAATTTTTACGATTAATTTCTATTTAAAATTTACTTTTTATAGAGGTAATATATGGTCACGGACCATTATTGGCGGATAGTCTATATAGTTGGGATTATACAAAAATAATCAATAGTTGGGATTATTTTCAGCGGACCGGCAATAGTTGAGATTATTATTTTCAATTTTTTCTAAAATATAGACACATACCCGTTAAAAATAGTCGGGTCCGGATCGGGTCCCAGTCTAGACCCGGCCCATTGACAGGCCCCGGGGTGTTACACTAGTTCTAATAATAATAGAAACTATCCATGTCCTAGGTAGACTAGGAGTAACATCATGGATTCATGTCCAGTCTTATTATGCTACAATGTCACCCCATCTACCTCCACCAAACATATAATAGCAATCCTAATTTTCCAATTTCATAAAGAATTATAGTTCAAATTTCAAAGTTTAATTTCAAGATTTCAACTTTTTGCAGTTCTTTGGCCGTTTCTTATATTCGGGTCCATTGAGAATTTTTACTCTGTGAACCTGCAAAATACACGAGAGTCAGAATAGAATACAATATCCGTGGTGGTTATCGATTTAGGTTATACGCAGAAACGAGGCAATCAAACTCCCCACAGCAAAATTATTAGTATAAAATCTGAAAATATTCAGACCCACAAATCTGTTCTTCCCACTAGGGTATGGTACGTTGCTTGCAGACAGTTGAATTTGCAGAAACTTCCCAAAAATTACCAGCGCTGAATCATTGCTAGCTTGCTACAGTTCTGGATAAGTTCAAACTATCACATCATAGAAAGGAAGTGAATTTCGCTGACTTAATTCTCTGCTTTTTTAGAAGAAATTGAGTTGCAGAGACACGCGATGAATCACCGCCTTCCGGATTTCGACATGGATGAGGAATTCAATGTTCCTCACACCGCCACTTCTTCCTCTGGTTCGACCAGACATAATAAGAAGCCTGCAATGTAAGTTTTATGCTCTCTATCCCTGTGAGTTGCGGTGGAAGTCAATTGGAGGTAGGGGTTTAATTTGATTTTGAATACAGGGATGAAGAGAATATCATGGAGCTTCTATGGCAGAACGGTCAAGTCGTTATGCATACTCAAAACCAGAGATCCTATCATAAACCAATCTTCTCCAGCGACGCGGCAATTCCCGCTGAGCAGCCCGCGGGCAGACAGATTCGACTGCCGGGAGAAGAAACGTCGGCGGCGAACCAGCATCTGTTCATGGAGGAGGATGAGATGGCGTCTTGGCTCGACTACCCTCTCGATGAGCCCTCCTTTGACGACCGTGATCTCTACTGCTCTGATCTCCTTTATCCGCCTTCAGCTACGACGTTCGCTCCTCCCCTGCGCGCCGCCGCCTCCGTCCCTACACGCGAAATCCGCTCGCCTGTAGCCGAGATCCGTCAGGCTCGGATTCATCTGCCGCCATCGCAGACCCCACCTGTACCTCTACCCAAACCTCCCGAGGCTCAAGGTGCGCCACGCGTCCAAAACTTTGCCCACTTTGCGCGACTGCATAGAGGGAGGATCGAACCGGTGCCGTTGAGTTCGAGCAAGGCGCCGATAGAATCGACGATCGTGGACTCGAGCGAGACCCCTCATGTGGCAGAAAGTGTGACGCCGGTGTCTGGCGGGAAGTTAAGCGGCACAGTGGACACAGGTTCGTCACCGAGAGGTAAAAGGGATGAAAAGGTATCGTGCGAGCAAACGGTAACGTCATCTCCCGGAGATTCAGGAGGCAGCGGCAGCCCGGAGCCGCCCCAAAACGCAGCGGTAGATGACCGGAAGCGTAAGGGAAGAGCAGCCGACGAGACGGAGGGCCACAGTGAGGTAATTAACCAGTCTCTTATTCTCGCTCTTTAACCGTTTGGGTGGAAAGTTAGTAAAATGCGGTTCCGCCACGTGTGTAACTTTGTCCCAAAAAGTAATTTTACCGGTAACGGTAAAAATTGGCAAGATTTGCTACAGTAATTAATGCTCTCATTTCACATGGCTTGTCTGTCCCTGTTTATTCATATCCTAGTACTAAATATTTTTCATATTCAAACCCGATTTTTGTGATTCAATTCAACTGTTAGTTTATTTTTTTAAATGTACTCCTAGTGTGTTAATGGTAAATTATAATTTACTTCGCGTATTTTAATACGTAGTACTTCCTTCGTCCCAATTTGTTTTGCAAAGTCAACAATTTTTGGCCAACCAATAATAAAAGTCAACTCTCCCTATGGATAATTAATTCAATTTTTAATAATTAAAATTTACATATTCAAAAAACTACATTAAAATCTCTTCAAAGTTGTAAACTCCAAATTAGAAAATAATTAAAAATTGACATCCTAATTAAGTGAACAAAACGAGACTGTTTGACTAAGAAAAGTCAAATTTGCAACTCTTTTTGGGACGGAGGTAGTATAAAGAAACTAGCGTTATGGCTTTATGCTTAGTCAAGCTTCATAAACAGTTAGGGACAAGTTATATGGACGGTGGGAGTAAAGCTTTTGAAACGTATGCATCATAATATTTGTCTCCATGCTATGGCGTCAATCTAAATTGGAGCCTCCGTACAGTAGTTAGAGTTGAAATGGACACAGCCATAGAACTTGGATATTTTGTGTCTGAAACTGCATGTGAACTTAATTGCACCCACTTATATTTCTGGCATTTTATAGGTTGATTGCAATCAACACATCACACTTATTTGTAACCTTATTTTGCAAAATGGTCATTTTCATTGGACACAGTTTGTCTCGTCATGATTCTTGTTTAACACAAGCAAATTTAGAAAGGAGTCTCTTTTTGTGGGGAGTAATGATCTTTGAAGCTGAAAATTTGAGAGTCGACCAAGTAAACTTGATTACACTGGATCCCATGTTGCGCTCTGGATTTTTGGTTTATGAGTTTTATCTTCTAGTTTTTGTGTTTCTTTTTACTCAAGCTCTGATTTATTTATTGAATTGGCAAAGTTTTTCCATCATTTGCCATGGAAAGACTCACTATTTTTTGGTTTGGAAATATCATGGAATAAAGCAAAACCGTTCACTAACCTGTCGGTGCTTCTTTGTTATGAAGCAGCCGTCAGTTCATGCAATTTCCGACGTGATTTTCATTATGGGTCATCCGGAAACAGTCTCTGTGTTTTAGTGCAGAGGTAAGACTGCCTACATCCGACCCCCTTACCCAGCCGTAGGTGGGAGCCTTTGCGGCACTGGGGTAATGATGATGATGGTTAAATTGGCAAAGTCTATTCCAACACCGTAGCCAACTTTGCCTTTAAACAAACTTGTTCTATCTTTTTGGAGGGTTCAAAACGCTTGTTCGGCTGGTGGTGCACACTTGAGTAGAGGGCAATGATTTTGTGCAAACATAAGAGAGTGTTGTATCATACGGAGTATGTTAAAAAAATTCAAATACTTACTGTATTAATTTTCTATGTTGAATTTTGTATGGGATTCTGGACTTGAGCATCATTCTAGGTTGATTGCAATGAGCACACATCACAATTATTTGTCACCTTTTTTTGCGAAATTGTCATTTTCACTGCACACGGTTCATTTAATCATAATTCTTTTTTCAAAACAAAAAAAAATTAGAAAGGAGACTCTTTTTATTGGAAGGAGTAATGCTCTTTGAAGCTAAAAATTTGAGGATACTCTTCTAAGGTTTGGACACTTGGTCGGCTGGTGGTGAACATTTGAGCGAAGGGCAACCGGCAACGTTTTTGTGCAAACATATGAAAGTGTTTTGTCATCTGTTGCTAAAATTTCAATTACTTATTGTATTAATTTTGTATGTTGAACTGGTTACCATTTTTTTGTGGGATTCTGGACTTGAGCATTATTCTAGTAATTGTTTCTTCACTCACACAGTTTTCTTCTTGGCAACATTTACTTAAAAGATCCATTGGTACTTAATTGCCACTATACTTGATCAGTGTACCTTTCTGTTGCATGTGAATGGAATTCTTAAACCTTAATACCTTATAGGATATGGACTTAGAGTCTGTTGATACAAAGAAGGATGCGCGTGGTTGCCCTTCAACAAAGAGATCTCGGGCTGCACAGGTCCATAATCTCTCAGAAAGGGTATGTGAGCTGTTTTGTTGTTGTTGTTGTTGTTGTTTTCCATTTACTGTGCTTTCTACTCACTTTTGAATGGAGTAAAGGGTCAGTTTAGTCCTCGAAGTTGCAAAAAAGGCGTCAAATAAGTCCTTATATAGAAGATTCTGTCCGGACGTGCCATTTGAGGTGGCTCCCGGTGGAATTTTGTGATAATTTTTTTTGAGCATCTTATTCATTAAGTCTAGTTTACTCATACCAAATTTCAGCTAAAAATTCAATCGCGAAGACATTCAAATGAATTCTTGAAGATAACAGCGCTTTTAACGGCACAGTTATCTTCAAGAATTCATTTGAATGTCTTCCCGATTGAATTTTTATCTGAAATTTGGTATGAGTAAACTAGACTTAATGAATAAGATGCTCAAAAAATTTCATCAAAAAATTCCACCGGGAGCCACCTCAAATGGCACGTCCGGACAGAATTTTCTATATAAAGACTTATTTGACCCCTTTTTTGCAACTTCGAGGACCAAACTGACCCTTATCCCCTTTTGAATGCATGCTGTGGTGCAGAGGCGGCGTGATAGGATTAATGAAAAGATGAGGGCCTTGCAAGAACTCATACCGCGCTGCAACAAGGTTTTGATTCACTGGAAACTTATACGAAGTAGTAATTTTTTCTGTCTAAGCTTGGAATTGCCATTTTTTACAAATGGAAATAGGCTGATTAGCTGATACAAACACAAACTCGCACACACACGTTTGCTTGTTCCAGTTTTATATGGAAGTTTATTACTACTTGCCCCATTTTTCATTTTTGGCACCTTTTGTACTTCATAACTAAATGACATAAATACTATTCTCTTTCATCGTTTCCCCCCTACTTATTCTGCAACACTCGCTACCTATAAAATTTTGCTCTTAATTTCATGAAAAAACTACTAGAACAAATAAAAGTGAACGAAACTACTACACGCTTCATGTTACTTTTTGTTTTGTTTATTTCAGTCAGACAAAGCTTCAATGTTGGATGATGCAATCGAGTACTTGAAATCCTTACAAATGCAAGTGCAAGTATGCTGCAGACACTTTCTTTTAACTACTTGGTCATTAATATTCTCTTTCTGCAGTTTTGCAGAGGTGGCTCCCCTCACCTAACACCAATTTACCACCTCTAGTCGTGAAAAGTGTAATGATACCAAAAGAAAGTACCAGAGTAATCTTGTGTCCTGATTTAGCACTCTGTTTGGTAATAATTAGGTGACTAAAATCAGGCTGTTTAATTAATATGGTTACTAAACTAAATTGGCTGAATTAACCGATTCTTCTTTAAGGACAAACTATTGGTAAGATCTATTTCAGCCATTCAAGTAAGTCAAAAACTACTTATTTTCTTAATTTACACAATGAATAAGCCCCGTTACCAAGCAGAGCCTTAACTTATTTGAATAAAATATATCCTACCAAACACTTTTCCTTTGAGAAAATTCACTAGATTCAGCCAGTAACTATAACCAAACAGGCAAACAGGCTTTTAATATGTACTATTCTCACTGAAGAAGGCCAAATTTGTCACCCCTCATTAATTTGCTCAACATGATATGCACAAATAATTTCTCTCACCTGCAAATGCTGCTTTTCTCTACAGATGATGTCCATGGGATGTGGCATGGTCCCATTGATGTATCCCGCCGGTATGCAGCAGTATATGCAAACGAAGATGGGTATGAACATGATGGGGATGTGCATGGATATGGGCATGAGTCGCCCTCCCATGGTTCCTCCATATTCAGTACCACCACCACCACGAACACATCTACCCGGTTCATCAATGCTAACAAATCCAACTACGGCAGCACAGATGAACACCCCAAGGTTTCCTATCCCACCACCATCATTCCCATTTCCTGTACCACCAGATCCTTCTAGAGTACCCACATCAGGTTCCATGTTAACCCCACTTGTCTCCCTTAATCCTAACCAGCAACAAATACCAAATTTTGTAGATCCATATCAACAACTTCTTGGTGTTCACCAGGCACAAGTTATGTTGCCTCTGGTAAGTCTCCAACCGTTCATGTCATGTTCTTTTATTACAAAAAGCACACCTCATAACCACCATATAATATTAAAATATCATCCCACCCTCTTACTTATGGTCTTATGGCTCCGTCCCCACGCCACTCCGCCCCACTATCCCCGAGAGTTCCCTTGTGGAAGAAACAAAAATGTTTTTCAGTTGATTGCATATTTAACTCACTAAATGCATATGATCAATAACATTACAATAGCTAAAAATGACTAAAAGGTGTGATAAAAATTACAATCACCGAATCGATCATTTTTTCCCGCTTTGATGGGCTTGCCAAGATCAACAAAATCATGAATAAGTATGTTACTGTTATGATCATTATTATAGTTAACACTGCATATATGTCTATGCGACCTGTAAATATTTTTTTTACTGTCATTGTTTGATAATTAATTAATTATTCAATTAATTAATTATGTATATGCGAGTGTTTTTGGTGATGGAGTAGGAGTAGCATCCCCCCTCACTGCCCCATACTTAAGTGGGGAAAGCTCACTCATCCTCACCCCGGCCCAACCCAAGCCCCTCAGCATTTCTCCCACAAGGGGTGCCATGCGGTCTCCGCGCCCATTGTCTTAATAAATGGGTAAAATAAGAGATCCAATATCTTAAGCTACTCATTTTAATAGAGGTTCTTGCATGAAATTGAATAAATGGATAGATGGATATCTCTGTAAATTTTAATATCTATGATTGTCGCTTATTTTGTATTTAGATGAGCAGCATAGCCTCTGTTGCTCATGTAGATAAGCAATCATACAATATATTTAATTATTTAACGGATGAATGAATTGGCAGTTGCTTTTGTTAATCCTTATGTTCTTCCATATTTCTTCCCCATTTTAACCCCAGAATCAAACAGTGGAACGTCCTATTTTAAACAAGCCAAGCAGCGGCAAAGATCTTGGGAATTCAGGGAGTCATGAATCTTGTAAGTTTCTTGTTTCAGAGGTTCTTAATTCTCTCCAACTTACAAAGAATTCTTAAATGATGATGCAGAAAATTTTCTTGTCTGAAAGAATTGCAGTTAACACAGTAATATATTATGTTGCTATTGAATGCTCAGGTGCACCTTGACTGAGATTTTTAAAAGCAGCATTTCATTTGGGAATAAATGGTGTGATGTTTCAAAATGCTTTGGAAATATAAGACTCATAGGAGACATGTGTTGAATGACAAGAATGAAGAGTGCACATTAAAGATGGAGGTCTATGTAACACACTGTGGTGAGCACATACTTACACACACATGACACATAATGGGGAAGGTCACTACTATGAGAACACCTTAGTATGAGAACTGATATCCTCAATCAATGGCTCTCACTCATAAGGTGTTATTTTTGTAATTTCTAAATTAAAACAGTTTATTTTTGCAACTACTCTAAAATAATTACAAAATTTTTTTAGGCATTGATGAACAAAACCCCCATATTAAGAGTGTTCTCATTATAAGAGGAGTTCCGACAGAACCCCCATATTGCGTGTTTTTTTAATCCGGTAGACAAACCATCAATCAATGTGGTGGAACATTTACCAAATTTTATTAAAAAAAATACAAGTGGGGGACATATTATGGGTTAGTATATACTCGGTCTTCGTATATGTAACTATAAAGATTTGCGTCTCACTAGTTCATGATAGTGGCTCCACATTTGCAGGTTGACAATTTTCCAGCACATCATTAATGGGAATGTCAACTAACCAAATTTTGCAGAGTAAGAGAAGTAATAATGTGAATGTAGCCTAAATCTGCTGGCCAGACGGCCATCATGTAACTTGTTATGAAATTTCCTCTTTTTCATTGTGGCTTTTAATACAATGATAAGTTGAAGCCTGAAGGTCTGTCAGTCTGTGTATATATTACTACCATGATTTTAGTTGAGTTATCAAAGAAATCATTGCCTTCGTGTTTAAAATAGCCATAAAACACTTGGGCATACTGATTTTTGTTTGCTTCTTGACTCATTTCTTGTCCTGGTCCCTTCTATTAAGAAAGTGTACTAAAGTTTATTTTGGGAAAGCGTATAAAAATTCTCAGTAATAACTCTTGTTTTTATCTTTCAAAAAGTACATACGGAAATGAAATTTGATAACTTTTTAAATAGAAGGAACATAACAATTAAAAACAAAAATATTTGAAAGAAATTTTGCTTCTTTTTTGTCTCTCTTTTTACTATTTTTGTTATTAAAGGATAATGAAATGCAGTAATAGAGACTTAGCAACGTCCACAAATGAGGATTGATTAATAAGTGAAACTGAGAAAATTTAAAGCCATTTGAAACCCTTTTCTTATTTCTCAAACCATTTTCTAACAGTCTAACAGTCTAACACTCTAACATTACAGTATTCTTTTATTGTTGAGTTGACTTCAACAAAGAAGCTCCGGCAACCGGAGTTACATTATCCCTTTTTACTCCTTTTTAGAAACAAAAGTACAAAACTATGTGATTGGTATTATTTACTTTTTTCAAAGTAATAATCACTTTACTCAATTTTTATGATCTAAAAACACATTGGTATTTTAGTGGATTCAATAGGAAGGACATTTTTTTTATAAAAGTTAGATATACCTACCTATAAGATACTAGCAATATCTATAACGTGCTCAGTAACATGTTAACGCTTTAAATTTAATTTCATTACTTAAGTTTAATTGATCATAGATTCATAGTGAGATCAACTAAACTTATCTGTGGTTTCACTTTTGATAACAATGGTACTTTATGTTCCCTAAATGTGGTCAGGAAATTAATTTTGGTAGCTACATGTTCGTTGCTGTAATTTTCCAAATTTTGTAACATTGTAAGTTCGCAGTCGTATGAATAATGGTAACATATTTCGGTAGTTTTTAAGGAAGATAGTAAATATATTATTTATTCGAGAAATCAAAATCAAACGAGTTTTTACCCTTCTGTTCCATACGAGATTTCTTCTTTCGTTGAGCTCATCTTAGGACACATGCTGACATGCGTTATCTTTTAACAGATGGAGTGTTCTTTGTCATAGAAAAGATCACCTCAGGTAGGTCTGACAAGAACTATTGTCAGAACTTGTCTACTTGAGGTGCTTCCGAGTAGATTTTTGATGAAATTTTGTGATCATGTTCTTCATAAAATGTAGATTAAGTGCACAAAATTTCAGCTTCAAACTCAATCGGAAAGTCAGTTAAATAAATTATTGAAAATCACTACATTTTAATATACATTTTGGCACAACGTTTTCAATAATTTATTTAACTGGCTTCCTAATTAAATTTTATGCTAATGAATATAATCTAAACTTCATTAAAAATATGCTCGCAAAGTTTCATCAAATTCCTCTATCTTTAACCAACACCCTTGATTCGATTTCAACCTCACCACCATTTTATATTTTTATTATCTTTTCTGTTAGTGAAAAAAACCGAGTATTGAGAACACCCTCTCGTAGCCACATTTCTCTCTCTCGAACTCAATGGCATCTCTTTCCCCTTCATATCTCCTAAGAATAGCAACCTTGCTTAATTGCTTTTGCAAACGGTAATATGAGCCTAAGAGCTTAGTCTGCTGTCAACGTCTTCAGACGTGTTCTATGACAGCCCAACTCTAAACTCTTGCCTCCCAACCTCAGTTGTTTACCAAATCTCCAATCCAACGTTTCCAGAAGAGTGAAGTGATCCAATTTCAACTATTTTTGGAGTAACTAAATCATCAGTCCTCACAATCATTTGTGTATAGGAGTGAACACGATCCTTTCACATACGAACCGATAATAATAACTACAACCTTGACTGAAACTGGAAAAGCCGTACCGTTCTTATCCCGTTAGAACCGGGATTCCAATTTTTAATTGGACTTCCATCTGGCCTATAGAGAAATGAACCAGAACAAGTAGTCAGATGTTTGTGTCGGTTATGAATCCACCACACAATGTGGTATCGGGCTTAAAAACTAACTGCTCCCAGTCCAGAACCATGTGAACGCCTAGTAAACCCACTTTTCAGGTCTTCAGATTGCATCAATCAAATAAGAAGCTGTTCTGTTCGTCTTAATCTTATTACTTATTCCTTAATCTTATTTTATTCAGATCAGATCAGATCAGATCAGAAAGATTCAGATCAGATCAGATCAGATCAGAAAGATTCAGATCAGATCAGATCAGATCAGAAACATTCAGATCAGATCAGAAAGATTCAGATCAGATCAGCAACATTCAGATCAGATCAGAAAGATTCAGACCAGATCAGACCAGATCAGAAACATTCAGATCAGATCAGAAACATTCAGATCAGATCAGGTCAAAAAATTCAAACATGATTTATCACTTTTATTATTATATTAATTATGATTATTATATTATAGTTATTGTTAATAATATTAATATATCAATATAATAATATTATTAATAATAATATAATAATAATGTTAATAATATAAAATTATTATTATATTAATATAATATAATATAATATAATATAATATAATATAATATAATATAATATAATATAATATAATATAATATAATATAATATAATATAATATAATATAATATAATATAATATAATATAATATAATATAATATAATATAATATAATATAATATAATATAATATAATATAATATAATATAATATAATATAATATAATATAATATAATATAATATAATATAATATAATATAATATAATATAATATAATATAATATAATATAATATAATATAATATAATATAATATAATATAATATAATATAATATAATATAATATAATATAATATAATATAATATAATATATTTATAATTATAATTATGATTTACAATGTAATTATAATTATAATCATCATTATTATTAATATGATTGTTGTTCTTGTTGTTATTGTTGTAATTATTATTACTTCGGAGTAATTATATATTTAAATTAGTAATTATAGACATAATTATGACTATAGAAATAAATATTATAATTATAATTACAATAATAATAATTATAAAATTAATCATAATTAAAAATATAATTACATTTATAATTGTATCTGTATTTATAATTAGTGTAATTGGTATAATTATTATAATTTTAAATTTAATTTTAATTATTATTTTTTTATAATTATGATTATAATTGTAATTTTATTTAAGTTATATTTTTAATTACAATTATAAATCTAATAATTATAATTATAATTACAATTATAGAAATATTCAAATCAGATCAGAAAGATTTAGATCAGAAGAATTCAGATCAGATCAGAAACATTCAGATCAGATCAGAAACATTCAGATCAGATCAGATCAGATCAGCAACATTCAGATCAGTTCAGCAACATTCAGATCAGATCAGAAAGATTCAGATCAGATCAGAAAGATTCAGATCAGATCAGATCAGATCAGAAAGATTCAGATCAGATCAGATCAGATCAGAAAAATTCAGATCAGATCAGATCAGAACTTAAAAAATTCAGATCAGAAACATTCAGATCAGGTGAACGGAACAGCTTCTAAATACTCCCTCCGTATTCTTCTTTTGCTACACTTTTCTTTTCAAAGTTTTTTTTTGTTTCCTACAATTTCCCTTTTTGGTAATTTTTTCTCTAAAAATACTAATTTATCCTACTTTTCATATTCTCTTTCTCATTTTCCCACATTTTCTCCTACTTTTTCTATAATATATTTACCCCAACTATTTTTCACTTAAATATTGTGTCAAACCCTATTGTAGCAAACAATAGAATATAGAGATTTTAGTAAACTTCTCAAGCCTTCAGATACTCCAATCAATTAAATAGTGACTATACAGAAAATCCCAGAATTGCTTTCATTGTTAACTCTGTCACTACATTCATACAGGATATTTAAAAAAGTGTGAACATATATAATAATAACTAGTATAGTACCCGCGCATACGCACGGAGAGAACCGATGATGCATATATTTATATAAAAGTAAGCCAGTGAATCAGTAATATATAACTATATAAGTACATGATGTATCGAGAGGTCAGCAGCACCATGCCACAACCTAAGCCAACTACATTTATACTCCCTGAATTACGACAGAAGAGAAAAGTCTAGCAAAGAGGAGGTTGAGTTATTAATTCTATTAGCAATCCCTCACAGATGTTAAAGTGAGATATTCTGACATTCACTCGTCATCACTATCAGGAGTATCCAGGAAGCTTAAATTTGTTTGTCCTCGAAGCTTGATGAGCAATGTTCCCCTATTCTCCTCACTCCACTCAATCCCTTCATTATCTAATAGATTCAACACCTGTGCGCCAATTGCAGTTAATAATAAGAGCCACAAAACTGACAAGGCAGAAAATGTGTAGGCAGAAAATGTGTAGGAAGAAGAAAAAGTGTGTCCTAGAGCCCATATGGTAAAAGGTCTTAACAGCTGAACCTGCTGAATTGGACAAATCTGTTGGGATTCCCTAGACTATGTATTTAAATCACTTTTTGACTTAATTAAAGCAAATAACATATATCACATGGAAGGTTAAAGTGCCGTTTAAAGTAACTGAAGCCAAAAAACTTAGGGCAGCCCAGTGCACAAAGGGATCCCTGCAAGGCGAGGGTCCTTCCACAAGGTGTATCAGGAGCAAGCATTCCCTGTCAATTTTACAAAGAGGCCACTCCCACCCATGACCTCTCGGTCACACAGCAACACCTTAACCTGTATGCCATGGCTCCCCTTCTAAACTAATTAAATCCAATTAAGCGCAAAAAAATCGACACTACTTTTTAAACCATCAGCCAATTCAACCACAGCACAATGATAAATGCTAGTGCCTCATAAAAATATGCACATAAGGCTGATAGGCTGGAAAAAAATGCCTGCCAAACAGGGCATTTTAGTAAGTTTACATTGAAGAATTCATATATATGATATATCGCTAGGACACTAGGCTAGGTATATATTTTAGTTTTATGTTGCACGAGTGTAAAATGTATTTTTTTCTTTGTACCGCGAGTTTGAGCTTAGACTTCCCAAGGCCTTGCCCCCCGCATCCGGTGATTACCCTGAGGGCACAGCTGGAAAAGCAAGAGCCGGTTAATTATCAATCT